AGTCTCCAAGAAATGTGGGACTATGTGAAAAGACCTAACCTATGTTTGATAGGTGTACCAGAATGTGACGAAGAGAATGAATCCCAGCTGGAAAATACTCTTCAGGACATCATCCAGGAAAATTTCCCCAACCTAGTAAGACAGGCCAACACTCAATTACAGGAAATACAGAGAACACCACAAAGATATTCCGCAAGAAGAGCAACCCCAAGGCACATAATCGTGAGACTCAACAAGGTTGAAATAAAGGAGAAAATACTAAGGGGAGCCAGGGAGAAAGGTCGGGTCACCCACAAAGGGAAGCCCATCAGACTCACAGCAGATCTCTTGGCAGAAACTCTACAAGCCAGAAGAGAGTGGGGCCAATATTCAACATCCTTAAAGAAAAGAACTTTCAACCCAGAATTTCATATACAGCAAAACGGAGCTTCAGAAGTGAAGGAAAAATAAAATCCTTTTCAAACAAGCAAGTACTCAGATATTTTGTCACCACCAGGCCTGCTTTACAAGAGCTCCTGAAAGAGGCACTACACATAGAAAGGAACAACCAGTACCAGCCATTCCAAAATCACACTAAACGCTAAACAGCATCAACATAATGAAGAATCTACAACAACTAAAGGCAAAACAGCCAGCTAGCATCAAAATGGCAGTATCAAATTCACACATAACAATATTAACCCTAAATGTAAATGGACTAAATGCACCAATCAAAAGACACAGACTGGCAAATTGGATAAAATTCCAAAACCCATCAGTGTGCTGTATCCAGGAAACCCATCTCACATGCAAGGATACAAAAAGGCTCAAAATAAAGGGATGGAGGAAGATTTACCAAGCAAATGGAGAGCAAAAAAAAAACAGGAGTTGCAATTCTCATCTCTGATAAAATAGACTTTAAAGCAACAAAGATCAAAAGAGACAAAGAAGGCCATTACATAATGGTAAAAGGATCAATACAACAAAAAGAGCTAACGATCCTAAACATATATGGACCCAATACAGGAGCACCCAGATACATAAGGCAAGGTCTTAACGACTTACAAAGACACTTAGACTTCCACAATAATTGTGGGAGACTTTAACACTCCACTGTCAATATTAGACAGATCAACCAGACAGAAAATCAACAAGGATATCCAGGGCTTGAACTCAGACCTGGAACAAGCAAACCTGATAGACATTTACAGAACTCTCCACCCCAAATCCACAGAATATACATTTTTCTCATCACCACATCACACCTACTCTAAAATTGACCACATAATTGGAAGTAAAGCACTGCTCAGCAAACGCAAAACAACTGAAATCATAACAAACAGCCTCTCAGACCACAGTGCAATCAAGTTAGAACTCAGAATTCAGAAACCAACCCAGAACTGCACAGCTTCATGGAAACTGAACAACTGGCTCTTGAATGTTGATTGGACAAACAATGAAATGAAGGCAGAAATAAAGAAGTTATTCAAACCAATTGAGAACGAAGAAACAACATGCCAGAATCTCTGGGACACATTTAGAGCAGTCTCTAGAGGAAAGTATATAGCAATAAGTGGCCATATGAGAAGAATGGAGAGATCCAAAATTGACACCCTATCGTCAAAATTGAAAGAGCTAGAGGAGCAAAATCAAAAAAACTCAAAACCCAGCAGAAGACAAGAAATAACTAAGATCAGAGCTGAACTGAAGGAGATTGAGACACAAAAAACCCTCCAAAAAATCAATAAATCCAAGAGCTGGTTTTTTGAAAAGATCAACAAAATAGACAGACCACTAGCCAGATTGATTAAAAATAAAAGAGAGAACAACCAAATAGATGCAATAAAAAATGATAAAAGGGAAATCACCACAGATTCCACAGAAATTCAAACCATCATCAGAGAATATTACAAACAACTCTATGCACATAAACTAGTAAACCTGGAAGAAATGGACAAATTCCTGGACTCCTGTGTCCTCTCAAGCCTAAACCAGGAGGAAGCTGAAACTATGAATAGACAAATAACAAGGGCAGAAGTCGAGGCAGCAATTAAGAGCCTACCACACAAAAAAAGCCCAGGTCCAGATGGGTTCACAGCCAAATTCTACCAGACACACAACGAGGATCTGGTACCGTTTCTTCTGAAACTATTCCAAATAATCCAAAAAGAAGGAATCCTTCCCAAATCATTTTATGAGACCAATATCATCCTGATACCAAAACCTGCCAGAGACTCAACAAGAAAAGAAAACTTCAGGCCAATATCCATGATGAACATAGATGCAAAAATCTTCAATAAAATATTGGCAAGCCAATTGCAACAGCAAATCAAAAAACTTATTCATCATGATCAAGTAGGATTCATCCCGGAGATGCAAGGCTGGTTCAACATATGCAAGTCTATAAACGTAATTCACCGCATAAACAGAACCAAAAACAAAAACCACATGATTATCTCAATTGACGCAGAGAAGGCATTTGACAAAATTCAACAGCCCTTTATGCTAAAAACCCTCAATAAACTCGGTATCGATGGAACGTATCTCAAAGTAATAAAAGCTATTTATGACAAACCAACAGCCAATATCATACTGAATGGGCAAAAACTGGAAGCATTCCCTTTGAAATCTGGCACTAGACAAGGATGCCCTCTCTCACCACTCCTATTCAATATAGTACTGGAAGTTCTAGCCAGAGCAATCAGGCAAGAAAAAGAAATAAAGGGTATTCAGATAGGAAAGGTGGAAGCCAAATTGTCTCTATTTGCAGACGACATGATAGTATACCTAGAAGACCCCATCGCCTCAGCCCAAAAACTCCTGAAACTGATAAGCAACTTCAGCAAAGTCTCAGGATATAAAATCAATGTGCAAAAATCACAAGCATTCCTCTACACCAATAACAGACTTAAAGAGAGCCAAATCAAGAATGAACTGCCATTCACAATTGCTACAAAAAGAATAAAATACCTTGGTATACAACTTACAAGAATCGTAAGGGACCTCTTCAAGGAGAACTACAAACCACTGCTCAACGAAATCAGAGAGGACACAAACAGATGGAGAAACATTCCATGTTCATGGTTAGGAAGAATTAATATCATGAAAATGGCTATACTGCCCAAAGTAATTTACAGAATCAACGCTATCCCCATCAAGCTACCATTGACTTTCTTCACAGAACTGGAAAAAAACACTATGAACTTCATATGGAACCAAAAGAGAGCCCGCATGGCCAAGTCAATTCTAAGCAAAAAGAACACAGTGGGGGGCATCACACTACCAGACTTCAAACTATACTACAAGGCTACAGTAATCAAAACAGCATGGTACTGGTACCAAAACAGAGATATAGACCAATGGAACAGAACAGAGGCATCAGAGGCAACACAACATATCTACATCCATACAATCTTTGATAAACCCGACAAAAACAAGCAATGGGGAAAGGATTCCCTGTTCAACAAATGGTGCTGGGAAAACTGGCTAGCCAGGTGCAGAAAGCAGAACCTGGACCCCTTCCTGACACCTTACACTAAAATTAACTCCAGATGGATTCAAGACTTAAACCTAAGACCTGGCACCATAAAAACCCTAGAAGGAAATTTAGGCAAAACCATCCAGGACATAGGAGTATGCAAGGACTTCATGAACAAAACACCAAAAGCATTGGCAACAAAAGCCAAAATAGACAAATGGGACCTAATCAAACTCCACAGCTTCTGCACAGCAAAGGAAACAGTCTCTAGAGTGAATTGGCAACCAACAGAATGGGAAAAAATTTTTGCAGTTTACCCATCTGACAAAGGGCTGATATCCAGAATTTACAAAGAACCCAAACAGATTTACAGGAAAAGAACAAACATGCCCATTCAAAATTGGGCAAAGGATATGAACAGACACTTTACGAAAGAAGACATATATGAGGCCAACAATCATATGAAAAAATGCTCATCGTCACTGGTCATCAGAGAGATGTAAATCAAAACCACATTGAGATACCATCTCACGCCAGTTAGAATGGCGATCATGAAAAAATCTGGAGACAACAGATGCTGGAGAGGATGTGGAGAAAAAGGAACACTTTTACACTGTTGGTGGGAGTGTAAATTAGTTCAACCATTGTGGAAGACAGTGTGGCGATTCCTCAAGGCCTTAGAAATAGAAATTCCATTTGACCCAGCAATCCCATTACTGGGTATATATCCAAAGGACTATAAATCATTCTACTGTAAGGACACATGCAGACAAATGTTCATTGCAGCACTGTTTACAATAGCAAAGACCTGGTATCAACCCAAATGCCCATTGATGATAGATTGGATTGGGAAAATGTGGCACATATACACCATGGAATATTATGCAGCAATCAGAAATGATGAGTTCATGTCGTTTGTAGGGACATGGATGAATCTGGAGAACATCATTCTCAGCAAACTGACACAAGAACGGAAAATGAAACACTGCATATTCTCACTCATAGGCAGGTGATGAAAAATGAGAACACATGGACACAGAGAGGGGAGTACTAAACACTGGGGTCTATTGGGGGGAAAAGGGGAGGGCCAGTGGGAGGGGGAGGTGGGGAGGGATAGCCTGGGGAGAAATGCCAAATGTGGGTGAAGGGGAGAAAGCAAACAAAACACACTGCCATGTTTGTACCTATGCAACTGTATTGCATGCTCTGCACATGTACCCCAAAACCTAAAATGCAATTTAAAAAAAAAAAGTAAAAATGAGACTACAAATATGTAAAAGGACTTGATTGTGAGTACTGAGAACCATAAATTTAAAATAATCACAAAATAAAATTATAAAACATAATCCGATTAGTTACTAATTTATCATGGTCTTAGTAAATATACAAACTTTTCGAAACAATGTCTGCATTAGAAGGAAGTGAGATTATTTCCTGCAGGCTTCTCCGACTCCCCCATAATTACATAAGGAAATGCATTTGGATGGACTGTGCAGGCAGAAAGCTTTGGAATTATTGAGGTGTTTTCAAAGCCCACATTTACCTTGTCTGGCCTCAAGCAACGAACAATAAGCATCCTCTGAAACTCGTTTACTTTACTTTCCCATTCTTCAGGGAAAACCTCATGGTGTGGTTCCTAAAATTATAGTGTAAATAATTCAACGTTATTTTGGAGATCATAAAGAGAACAGTATCTTCACTTATAAACCAACTTTTAGAAAAAAATATATAAATGAAATCAAGAATGCTTGTGTAAAAGTGTAAAGTTGGGAGGTGGTTATAAAATAAATAATGAGAAGAAAAGTTAATATACTTCAAAGGAATCAAAACAAGGACATGAACTAAACAGGTTAATGTCAACATGAACCCTAATAAAATGACAAAATGATCCCTATTATGAAAACAATAAATGTGCATATGCTATTATTTTCCCCTTATTTCTCCAAAGGCTTTTTTTTTTTTTTTTTTTTTTTTTTTTTTTTTTTTTTTTTTTTGAGACAGAGTCTTGCTGTATCGCCCAGGCTGGAGAAGAGTGGCATGATCTTGGCTCACTGCAACCTCTGCCTCCTGGGTTCAAGCGATTCTCTTGCCTCAGCCTCCCAAGTAACTGAGATTATAGTGGTGTACCACCATGCCCAGCTAATTTTTTGTATTTTTAGTAGAGAGGGGGTTTCACTATGTTGGCCAGGTTGGTCTTGAACTCCTGGCCTCAAGTGATGCACCCAACTTGGCCTCCCAAATTGCTGGGATTACAGACAAGAGCCACTGCTCCCAGCTGCAACAAAGACATTTTTAAAAACCTACCTACTTCTCTCATCATCTATTTATCAAAATAAATAAATATGTCAAAACAAGTAAAAAGGGCATTGTGCTGAAATTTATTATTTCTTGTTTGGAACAATCTTTAAAAAAATTTTTTTTAATAAAGGGAGACTTGAGAATGTGTGTAATGAAGAAGCCAATCAAGAGCTATTACAAAAATCACAAGAAGAGAGGAGGCATCAGGATACCAGCAGGAGGGGTAAACCTTGGGAGGAAGAAAAGGAGACGTGTACCTGTGAAACTTTAGGAAAAGCTATGTGGTATCTCAAATTAGAAATCTTCAGGCTTCAGTATAGTAATAAAATTTTAATTTCAAATTACTTGAGGTACTCACAACACATATTTGTTTCTAGAAAGCATTTTTATTACTAACAAGAAAAAAATCCAAAAGAGAGATCACTTCCAAATATTTGAATTCATGTGAAGACATAATCTCATTATCATATAATACAACAAGTAGGTAACAAAATAAAATATATGTTAACCAAACAAAACATGCTCTCTGCATATTTAGCTTTCTTTCCTCCAGCCTCTTCCAAGCAGAGTTCTTACATGTTAAACTCATGGAAAGCAGGAAGTCAAGAGAGTAGAAACAAAGGAATAGAAAAAGTTAACTAGGAACTGGAAAAATAATAGCCGTTGCACTAAAGAAAAATTGAGAGAAAGCAACAATTACTATATATCCCAGATGAGAAACTATGAATATTATGTCTGTGTCAATTATAATCCTCCCTAGTTAGCAAAACAAGGTCTCATGAAAATTATTTTAGAACTACTGTACAAGCTTTTTCCTTTTCTCAAATGACAAAAAAAAAAACAAACCCAAAACTGTATTATCTTGCATCCTGAATTCAGAAAATCTGAACAACCGCTGTTTCATAAACTTTAACTCATCTGCTATTAGGGCTGCCAAAATCTGCACTGATAATGAATAAAAACCTGGCATCGAAATTCAACAAGAATATTTTCAAGAACCACACAGCATTCTTGCATCTTAATACTTTTCAAGGAGTTTGAATGGAAGTTCAAATAGAATCACTGACTTAAAAGGTGCGATAACATAAATCAAAGCTTGCATTCTAACATGTGACCAGTTTTTCAAAGCTTATTTAAACCTTGTTTTATGAAAAGATAAGTTATTTAACATCCTTTTCTCCATTTAAAAACACAGGAATAAGCAAGAGGGTTAAAACATACCACACTATCATATACTTTTTTCCATCCATCCTTTAAGTGCATAAACTCTCTACGAATGGTTTTAAAGGCAGGCAAATCATCTAATCGACATATTTCATCCCAGGATTTTTGAGGAAGCCACGTACAAGGGTTGGCATGAGGGTTATCCAGTCCAATGCCACCAGTTAGCAGAAATCTCCACTCAGCTTTATTAATCTTTGGAAAACAAGACAGCATGAAGGGTCAGAAATGAGTTCATCATAGACTAGTAAGCTTACGATCACTATCAAAGAGTGTTGACTTGCAAGTTTCAGATGTGGTCTCTATGAAATTCTATAGTGATATAGCTCAGTATTTATTCATAAGAAACCAATATACTCATTATAACTAGTTTTCAAAATGGTTCCATTTTAGATAGCTACTTTTTTACAATTTTCCTCTAGAATTACTTGTCTAAATGTGAAAATCTGAATATATTCTATTTAAATACACATTTTCCAAAATGACTGCCTAGAGTCCTACTGCCTCTAGAAATTGTAGAAAGACAGAAACCCATCAACGTGCCATGTTTTTAATTATTCTCCACAAAGAATAATAAGTTAATGCTATACAATTTTTGCAAGAAATGCAAAAGTAAAGTCCTTATTTCTTCAGAATTCAACCAATACATCACCATATAAAATCCATAAATCTTAAACATGTAAGTGTATAAAACAGTGACTTTACACAGATTTCAGTAACTTGCACAAGTCTTTAAAAACATTTACACTACTGGGTGTAAATGTATCAATATTAAGTAAATTTATATGCATAGCTGTATGAAAATCTAATGCGATTGATTTATTTTAAAATAAAACCAAAAGTTCATATATTTATATGTGTAGCTGTTTGGAATTTATACGCAAAGCTATATGAAAATCTAATACAATCAATTTATTTTATGTCTCACTTATTGTATGTTTTATTTAAGTCTCAATTATCTGAAATTTATTCTCCTGATAACATCTTACCTTAACTATAATAATAAACAGCATTATTGTTTAACTACTTACAATCTTTTTATATGTAGTCCCATACAAATCAGTAAATTAATGAATCAGTGTTATTAAGGGTTTCTTCTTAAAAATGGAAAACAGTACTGACCGCCTGCTCATGCAGCAGTAGATTTACAGTTAGACAAAAGGAAAAGAGCAGCTTATCCTTTTCAAACAGTGACCGGCAGACATTAACATACAGCGAATAGGTAAAGTGATCCTTAAGAATCTGAAGCCTAAGGGTCAACAGAAAATAAAGGAAATAAATAAAAATATACTTTAAAGATAATGCTCTTAAGAAAAGCCATTGCACACCATTTACATGTATGTTCTTCCAATAAACTTTACGGTCAAGTACCCCCAAAACAGTTAAGAATCCTTGTTAACTGGATGCAACAATTTGAGAGCTACACAATGTAGAAACACTTCAGTCCACTTGCGCTTTACTGTCAACTGAATTTTTTTTTTAAACTTAATCTTCCTTTTGGAAAAAAGTCAGTGGATGGTACATTAATCTGTTAGATTAAAAAGTTTACAGACTGTTTTAATCTACAAAGCATTTCTGGGGTTAAAATTTCACCACTGTATAATAAATAATTTCTAATGTTTTATATTATATATTAAAATAAATAGTCTAACATTAGCTTCTTTATTAAGTTTAGTATTGTGCTACTTATAAATTCATGAAAGCTGAAGAAATCACAAAACTTGACAAACATTTTTATTTGCTAGAGACAAAACATGAAAATATGAATAATCACAATATTTCCTTTTTATTATTTATTTCTGAGACAGGGTCTCACTCTGTTACCCAGGTTGGAGTGCAATGACACAATCCTGGCTGACTGCAACCTCCGCTTCCTGGGCTTCTGCCTCAGCCTACCCAGTAGCTGGAACTACAGTTGTATACCACCACACCTAGCTAATTTTTGTATTTTTTATAGAGACAGAGTTTCACTATGTTGCCCAGGCTGGTCTCAAACTCCTGACGTCAAGTGATCTGCCCACCTTAGCCTCCCAAAGTCCTGGGATTACAGGTATGAGCCACCACGCCCAGCCACAATATTTCCAACAATTTCCTATTATAGTAAGCAGTAACTTGTGATCTGTATTTATAATAATTCTTAATATCAACATAACACTTTAAGTATTTTCCATTAATTATCACATAAGGAAATAAATTATCATTGAATCAAATTTAAAAAATATTTTAATCACATGGGTTATAGTAGTTATAATAGAAATGAAGAGTTGGCTGTAAACATTTTTAGAGAGGTAATGATTGACATGGATTCCCCAAACATTCCTAGCAGATCGTATCTGAGGGAAAAATCAGCATAGTTTGATTATGATTAAGCAAAATTACATTGGTGTTTCTTAATGTGTCTAGGAAAAAACAGTCTACCTGTATGACTAGATCTTGGCAATGTCCTGACTGATATTGTCAATCAACCTAGCTCTTTTTTTTCCCATTTTTCTTTACCTGCCTATTTTCTTAACTATTTTATCCCCTGCAGCATTCCCATAAAGAGAATTACAACAAATTGATGTATCTTATTTGGAAACTCCAAAAAAGGTTTTTGTAGAGAAAGTTTTGCAGTGGTTGCTAAAATACAGTTGAATTCTTAGATTTAAAATAAACATACTATTTCTGTCCCCATTATTATGCTAATAGGTTTTTTCATGTATGTCACTGAATTTGTCTCACTTGTAGCAGTACTATACAATGAATACAGGGTGAGTCACATCTGGTCTTTCTAGAATAAAAAATATTTCTGCACTTTAAGACAACTCTCTTCTTGCAGACAGAAAGATTAAAGGGAAAATTATAAAGGTTAATCATAAGTTCAGGTTCAGTCACTAGTAAAAATGGAGACATAATATGATATTTTAATAACCTTTTAAGGTGAAAGAGAAAATTAAAATTATCATTCTCAATGCTGGGTCTCTGATTGAGTTGTTTGAATAATCTTCCAGGAAAGGAATTTATATCAGGAACCTGCAAGAAGTGAACACCTTTGTCCTAATTTTGGGATTCCAGCCTGAGAAAATATCAGTGATGCAGACATTTATCTTTACTGCAGCATTACTTACAATACAAAAGCTGGAGAATACTTAGAAGTATTTGTTTGAAGACAGCATCACACTCTGTCATTCAGGCTGGATTGCAGTGGGACAATCATAACTCACTGTAACCTAGAACTCCTAGGCTCAAGTGGTCCTCCTACTTCAGCCTCCTGAGTAGCTGGGACTACAAGGGCATGTCACACCGGGCTAATTTTTCTATTTTTTTTTTTTTTTTTTTGTAGAGACAGGGTTTTACCATGTCACCCAGGCTGGTCTTGAACCCCTGGGCTCAACCAATCTGCATACCTCAGCTTCCCAAAGTGCGGGGATTACAGGTGTGAGCCACCCCACTCAGCCAGAAGTCTTATAATATGAAAATTATGGTACATTCATACAATGGTATGTATATTGTGCAACTCCTAAAAATTATGTTTTAGAAGAATACTTAATAACACGAGAAAATTGTCTTGATGGAAGTGAAAGAAAACTGCGTAATTATCAAACTGCCTTTGCAAAATTATGACAGTAAGAGAAATCTGACATAGCTGACTCCATCTTGCCTCTAGCCTCCCAGTCTGGCTGTCTTGGTTCACCCCATGCCCAGGAATGAAACAAGACAGCCAGCCTTTGGAAGAAATTTAGTTTTCCTTGCTGAGTCCCTATGATCGCACCTCCAACCAATCAGCATGCCCTCTTCCCTAATGCCCTGCCCACCAAACTATCCTTGAAAAGCCCTAGCCTCTGGATTTTCAAGAGATTAATTTGAGTAACAATTCCATCTTCTGTGTGACATGGCCAGCTTCACATCAGTTAAACTCTCTCTTTACTACAATGCCATGGTCTCAGTGTGTTAATTTTATATGTGTAGGAGGCAGAAAGAACCCATTGGGCAGTTACAATTACACATATATGCATATTTGTACAGCAACAGATTGATTCCAAGATATTTAACAAAACTATATCCTAGTTAGATTTTCTTTCTATATTTATGTTATTTTTTTTAGTTTGTTGGCTACATAAAGTTATTTATTCTGTTACATAAATTCTAAGGCAAAATCTTATAAATAACAGATGATCCAAGTTATTATGGGAATTGCGAAGCATATACCATACTAGTCATAAAATAATATATGCTTGGTGTCATACTTAATAATAATTATAAATAACCACTACCAAAAGACAAACAAGAATGAAATACATTTATATTCCTAAAAGGAAATAAGAGATAATTTTAGACCAATGTTAAGATTCTAAAACAGGCCAGGCATGGTGGCTCATGCCTGTAATCCTAGCACTTTGGGAGGCTAAGGCAGGCAGATCACCTGAGGTCAGGAGTTCAAGATCAGCCTGGCCAACATGATGAAACCCCTGAGGTCAGGAGTTCAAGATCAGCCTGGCCAACATGATGAAACCCCTGAGGTCAGGAGTTCAAGATCAGACTGGCCAACATGATGAAACCCCATCGCTACTAAAATACAAAAATTAGCCTGGCATGATGGCAGATGCCTGTAATCATGGGAGGCTAAGATGGGAGAATTGCTTGAACCCAGGAGATGGTGGTTGCAGTGAGCTGAGATAGTGCTACTTTGCACTCTATGTCAAAAAAAAAAGAAAAAGATTTTAAAATGATCAGGTTGGCTAGTGTCAAGAGTCAAATGTTTTTGGTAGAGTCACATGCTTTTGGTAGAGCATAGAATAGTCCACGCAATTCTACTATGCTTTTGGTAGAGCATGGTCCAATAACTCCCTGAAGTCTACCAGTTATTTGATGTTTTATTAATGGTTGGCAGAAAAACAATCATTCCCATGAGAACTCATTCTCTTTTCAATTTCTGATTTGGGAGCTAACTTCTTAATTGGAAACTCTTGGTTTACTTTAACAACAAAAAAGTTTAAACAGAACTGGTCAGTTTCTCTCTTGGTACAATGCTTTAGAAAACTATTGTCAGTATTTATTAAAAGGAAATATATGCATGCCCTGTGATAATCAGTTTCCCTCCTGATATATACCCACCAAAGACAAGTACGTATCAGCACGAAAAGCCACGTACAGAATGTTCAAGGAAGCAAAATTTCATCATAGCCCCAAGTTGGAAGCTACCCAAATATGCTCAATAGTAGAATGGATCAATGATTTGCATTACAGTGTTAGGACAAGTAAAAACTAAAAATAAGAGACTGGGAGAGAGTTTCCTTCCCTCCTTTTTTTCTCAGATAATTTAATTTAGAAAAACTAAAATTGTAAGTACTTTCTCCTCCTTTGAAATGTATATAAACCCTTTTGAAAACTTTTGTCAGTTTTATGACCCAGTAATGTCTTTCTTAAAGACCCAGAAGCCATTTCTTTGAAATGTAAACATCAAGGGAGATGGCCCACCTGCCTCTAAGTCACTGCAGAAGAGTAGGAGCCTAACTTCAGTTAAGCTTATTTCAAGTTGCAAAACTACCTCCTGTCATATAGATACAAAGTTTGGTTTTCCTCTGGATAAAACCAATTTGCTAACACAGATGGTCACTTCAATTGCCAGGTAAAGTTAGGATGAACTAAGTGTGATGTAATGGGTTGTATCGGCTTCGGTAATTAAGGGGGTGAGATTCCTCTCTGTCTTTGCAATCTCTTTGTAATTGCCTGCGATTTGTATCACACTCTGTTTAATGTTTATTCAACAATAAAACTGTTTCCTTTCACTAGGCCTTTGAGGAGAGAGTTTCTGGGTTGAGAGAAGATGTAATTTTTAATTATACTGACCCAACAATAGAAAACTAACAATTAAAGTAAGTAAGCGCTGCACTAGACAAAACAATGTGCAGTAATTTCACAAGCATGATGTTGAGTGCAAGATGTAAGACATAAAAAAGCACACGGTGTGTGATTCTATTTATAAAGTTCCAAAACTGGCAAAAAAACTATAACCTGTGGTGTTGGAAGTCAGGACAGTGGTCTCCCTGGGGTAAAGGGTTAGTGATCAGAAGGGGACACTTCTGGGCTGTTGGTAACATTCTGTGCCTTGAGTTGGGTGCTATTTATACAAGTTTACTCACTTAAGAGCAAATACTTCTGATTCCTGCATGTTTCTTCATGTGTTTTGATAACTTCAATAAAAGGTTAAAATACATTTTCTCTGTTTACCTTTTGGTCCCAGAATTATACTTTTGGTATTATTGCAACATACATATGATTTTCATTGTTTTGAAATTAAAGAAGTTTAACTAAAAAGAAAATGCCACATTTTGTTTTCTAAATTTCATGTGAATCGCTCATCTGGGTAAAAAGGATTTGCTTTTCCTTACATATTAAGGGACAAAAGCACAGCAATGAAGAAACAAAGTCCATACCTTGGATGAGCTCTAACTTGATATAATGAGAGACTATAAAAGACCCATCACTATTTTTAAAGCACAGAATTGTTTTCATTTTTCAAGCTTATGTGAACAATGTCTTTAAATGGCAGACCAAAGCAGTTTTCTTTTCTAGACTCCAGAAAATACCTTGATTTTAAGCTAATTAAGTGAGTAACATTCTGGTGGTTATCCTTTTAACTAAGGTAGAAATTAAGACCAGTAGTGAAAAGCAGAGCATTATTTATTGTGTGGCTGTAATTTGATTAGTACTGTAGTAACTGCTGGAAATAGTTTTGTTTTGAGATGGGGTCTCACTCTATTGCCCAGGCTGAAGTATGGTGGTACAATCATGGCTCCCTGCAGTCTCAACTTTCTGAGGTCAAGTAATCCTCCTACACAGGCCCACACCACCATGCCTGGCTAAATTTGTGTCTTTTTGGTAGAGCCGGGGTTTTGCCATGTTGCCCAGGCTGGTCTTAAACTCCTGGGCTCAAGCAAGCTCCTCATCTTGGCCTCCCAAAGTGCTGGGATTACAGGTTTGAGCCACCATGCCTAGCCTGGGGCTATTTTTTTTTCTTGTCTCACGGAACTCCAAATTTAGTATGAAAACCAGACATGCAGGTTTAATTAACTAAATTATAATGCAAATAGCTTAGAACCTTTCTAAGAAAGATTACTTAAAATTTTATTTCTGTAATCCTTGCTAAACTTGAAAATTTCGAAACTGGAAGAAATAAAGAAATAAACTAAACATTTTCAAATATCGTAAAGATAAACTCTATCATTATGCATTTCTTCGAAATAAATAACGTAATCCCCCTCCTTTCTCAATGGCAGATATCTAATTTCCTTTTAGATTCACATTTTTATTAGTCTTATATTGTAACTTGTAAAATAATCAATCTTACTAACAAAAACTTGCTAAGTCTAAGAACAATCAATATTTTCAACCTCTACCATGATAAAGAAAGGAATTCAGGTTTCAGTGAGATTAATATTTTAGATTTCTAAAAAAGAATTCTTAGCAGTGAGTGATAAATAGTAAACTGAGTTTCCCTTGTGGGTCTGAACAGTCAAGAAACTGAAGTATCTAGGTTCATCTTGTTCAAGAAGTTTATAAAAGGCAAAAGTTGCAATTAACCACTTTCTTTTTTCAAAAAATAATTTCACATTTAACTCTATTAAAAACATGTTTTAATACCAATCTGAATCTCACTCATTTAAAAATTCAAATGAAATTTAATTCTCTTGTAGATTTAAGTCAGATCTTAATTCCATTACTTATTATAACAGTAATATAAGGTATTTTATATAAATAAGAATAACAAAAGAAACTCCATTACTACAAATAATCACAACAAGGTTTGGGATTTTTTTTTTTTACCCTAATACTTACAAATTTTATAGATGTGTAAATTAAAATATGGATTTGCAACTTTTGGAATGACAGCTTGTACAGAATAGGAGTCACATTTTTGGAAAGTATTAACTACTCTTTCCATACTTGCATTCATAAATATATTTTGTAAATGAAAAATGAAAGTAAATGTTTTCTCTTTCTAGAATTACATTATAATCCTAGATTGCTGTAAACAGTTCCTTGGCAGACCGAATTTAGACACATCTGTTCAATTTCTAATCCTTAGATTTCTGGTACAATGATTAATCAAATTCATTTTAGGTAAGTGGCTGTAATGCTTGTACCGCTCTAAGACAACAATGGAAGCCATAAATTACTCTCTAATTTTCATGCATTAATTAGTTAATATTAATTAGTATTTCCTTCACATACCTTTTTGCCAAAATTTCTGACTTCTCTGAATTTTCAATAGACAGGATGAAAAGGTTAATAAACCAGGTCAGTGAATACTGGTACATGGGCTCAATGTTGGCTAAATCAGCAATAGAAAAAAACAGGATGGAAGAATGGATGGCAATAGGACGATAGCCCATGCGGGTGGTGTCAATCTTTTTCTCTGTCTCTTCGGCTACTTTCTGCTTCTGAGAAATCTCATTAGCCAAAGCCTTGGAGGAAGATAATATTTTAATAGCAGTTTCATCTTCTAATATATTGCCTTCCGAAGATGAAAGAACTTCTAAAATCTTGTCTTCTATTTCTTTTAACTGCCTAGAATAAAACACAATTTTCTCAGAAGAAAAAGAAGCCATTTAAAATCATTTCACATATATGTTCTTTTATAAGAAACAAAGAGCTTGTAACCTAAAGAAATGCATCACTTTGTGACAAATATCTCTAATGGTGATGCTGTGTAATTAATTTCTTATCTTGTAAAATGTCACAAAGATGGGCCTTTCTGCTCCATTTCCCTTTTTAATGATCATTTATGTGCTAACTAGAAAGAAATACGGCAAGCCAGTTTACTCTGCCATCAAGGATCTCAGCTTGGAGTGAACAGAAAGTAGCACTCCATTTATTTTCTGAAATTTTACATTACTTATACAGCTTTACTCTTTCTACCTATGATATAGATGTTATGAGCAGCAAGTGGAATGCAGCATATTCATTCATACCATGCTCCAGCAAAAATCAGGTTACCTCCGTTACACAATGAATACTAAAACTTTGTGGAATATATGAAAATACCCTGCCCTGACTTGTGGCAGGCCTTCTGGCTCTTCCAGCGCCTAAGAATGTGCATGTAAAAATATACTCAGTAATGCAGTTTTATAAATTAACATGGAGGTAATATAATTCCTTACATTTTCCTGTTATATTTTCCCTTGCAGTATTCCTATCAAACTAACAAAAAAGATCTGTAAAATGTACTTTAATTCATCCTAATGATATCAAAACAAATAAGAATAGTTCTGTTTATGACATTTAAAACCTTCTGTTTTCAGCTCCTTGTAATATCAAGGCTTGCTTTTCTTCTTCAAGGTCTGGCCTTTCTCGTGCCACCACAATTCCCAGAAGCTGGTCTTGCATTCCCTCAGAGGTTATCATGAAGTTTAGTAATGTTACCTATAAACAGAAAAAATATACAAAAATTGCACCATTATTTCTATTAAAAATGCCTCTGCATTTATGTGTCAACTTCTGACCTTAAAATAGACTCTCTTTACTACACAGAGTAGGACTTGTGAAGTATAATTTGTAGAGACTATGATTAACGACATAGGCAAGCGCGATTGTTGGATTTAAAATCCACCTCGGTTTCTCATAGTCAGAAATCTAGTACCTCGAGGTACTACCTCAAAGGGTTTGTTAGGTGATCAATATATTCTCATTTCAAACCGGTCTAATTTCTGAGAACTTTTCGACAGCAAACTTCATTAGAATCAGGTTGGAAGCTCTCTTTCATTTCAGTTGATCAGAGCAGCCATGGCATAATATAAGGTTTGAAGCCTGGCACTAGAATCCTATTAGTTGGACCAGCTGATTTAAATTGCAAGGATTCTACTGGTATCAAAAGTAAAGGAAATCTTACAAAGCGAGATAAAAAGAAACACTGTAATTATTGTCATGAGTGCAGTATTTTTACAATCTGATAATCAGCCACTATTGTGAACTAAGAAATATACATTTTCTTTTCTTTTTTTTTTAATTTTACAATCAAATTTTTCTTTTTTAAAATTGCATTTTAGGTTTTGGGGTACATGTGCAGAACGTGCAAAATAGTTACATAGGTACACACATGGCAGTGTGTTTTGCTGCCTTTCTGCCCCTCACCCATATTTGGCATTTCTCCCCAGACTATCCCTCCCCAGCTCCCACCCCCTGCTGTCCCTCACCATTCCCGCCAGTAGACCCCAATGTGTAGTACTCCCTTCCCTGTGTCCATGTATTCTCATTTTTCCTCACCGGCCTATGAGTGAGAATATGTGGTATTTCATTTTCTGTTCTTGTGTCAGTTTGCTGAGAATGATGTTCTCCAGTTTCATCCATGTCCTTACAAAGGACATGAACTCATCGTTTTTGATTGCTGCATAGTATTCCATGGTGTATATGTGCCACATTTTCCCAGTCCAGTCTATCATTGATGGGCATTTGGGTTGGTTCCAGGTCTTTGCTATTGTAAACAGTGCTGCAATGAACATTCCTGTGCATGTGTCCTTATAGAAGAACGATTTATAGTCCTTTGGATATATACCCAGTAATGGGATTGCTGGGTCAAATGGAATTTCTATTTCTAAGGCCTTGAGGAATCGCCACACTGTCTTCCACAATGGTTGAACTAATTTACGCTCCCACCAACAGTGTAAAAGTGTTCCTTTTTCTCCACATCCTCTCCAGCATCTGTTGTCTCCAGATTTTTTCATGATCGCCATTCTAACTGGCATGAGATGGTATCTCAGTGTGGTTTTGATTTGCATCTCTCTGATGACCAGTGATGATGAGCATTTTTTCATATGATTGTTGGCCTCATGTATGTCGTCTTTTGTAAAGTGTCTGTTCATATCCTTTGCCCATTTTTGAATGGGCTTGTTTGTTTTTTTCCTGTAAATCTGTTTGAGTTCTTTGTAAATTCTGGATATCAGCCCTTTGTCAGATGGGTAAACTGCAAAAATTTTTTCCCATTCTGTTGGTTGCCGATTCACTCTAGTGACTGTTTCTTTTGCCGTGCAGAAGCTGTGGAGTTTGATTAGGTCCCATTTGTCTATTTTGGCTTTTGTTGCCAATGCTTTTGGTGTTTTGGTCATGAAGTCCTTGCCTACTCCTATGTGCTGAATGGTTTTGCCTAGATTTCCTTCTAGGGTTTTTATGGTGCCAGGTCTTAGGTTTAAGTCTTTAATCCATCTGGAGTTAATTTTAGTGTAAGGTGTCAGGAAGGGGTCCAGATTCTGCTTTCTGCACATGGCTAGCCAGTTTTCCCAACACCATTTATTAAACAGGGAATCCTTTCCCCATTGCTTGTTTTGTCAGGTTTATCAAAGATTGTATGGTTGTAGATAATGTTGTGTTACCTCTGATGCCTCTGTTCTGTTCCATTGGTCTATATCTCTGTTTTGGTACCAGTACCATGCTGTTTTGATTACTGTAGCCTTGTAGTATAGTTTGAAGTCCAGTAGTGTGATGCCCCCCACTGTGTTCTTTTTGCTTAGAATTGACTTGGCTATGTGGGCTCTCTTTTGTTTCCATATGAAGTTCATGGTGGTTTTTTCCAGTTCCGTGAAGAAAGTCAATGGTAGCTTGATGGGTATAGCATTGATTCTGTAAATTACTTTGGGCAGTATAGCCATTTTCACGATATTGATTCTTCCTAACCATGAACATGGAAGGTTTCTCCATCTGTTTGTGTCCTCTCTGATTTCGTTGAGCAGTGGTTTGTAGTTTTCCTTGAAGAGCTCCCTTACATTCATTGTAAGATGTATTCCTAGGTATTTTATTCTCTTTGTAGCAATTGTGAATGGCAGTTCGTTCTTGATTTGGCTCTCTTTAAGTCTGTTATTGGTGTAGAGGAAGGCTTGTGATTTTTGCACATTGATTTTATACCCTGAGACTTTGCTGAAGTTGCTTATGAGTTTCAGGAGTTTTTGGGCTGAGGCGATGGGGTCTTCTAGGTATACTATCATGTCATCTGCAAATAGAGACAATTTGGCTTCCTCCTTTCCTATTTGAATACCTTTATTTCTTTTTCTTGCCTGATTGCTCTGGCTAGAACTTCCAGTACTATTTTGAATAGGAGTGGTGAGAGAGGGCATTGTTGTCTAATGCCAGATTTCAAAGGGAATGCTTCCAGTTTTTGCCCCATTCAATATGATACTGGCTGTTGGTTTGTCATAAATAGCTTTTATTACTTTGAGATACATTCCATCAATACTGAGTTTATTGAGGGATTTTAGCAAAAAGAGCTGTTGAATTTTGTCAAATGCCTTCTCTGCATCAATTGAGATAATCATGTGGTTTTTGTTTTTGGTTCTGTTTATGTGGTGAATTATGTTTATAGACTTGCATATGTTGAACCAGCCTTGCATCCCTGAGGTGAATCCTACTTGATCATGATGGATAAGTTTTTTGATGTGCTGTTGCAGTCAGTTTGCCAGTATTTTATTGAAGATTTTTGCATCTATGTTCATCATGGATATTGGCCTGAAGTTTTCTTTCTTGTTGAGTCTCTGCTGGGTTTTGGTATCAGGATGATTTGGGCTCATAAAATGATTTGGAAAGGATTCCCACTTTTTGGATTATTTGGAATAGTTTCAGAAGGAATGGTACCAGATCCTCTTTGTGTGTCTGGTAGAATTCAGCTGTGGACCCATCTGGACCTGGGCTTTTTTTTTGTGTGGTAGGCTCTTAATTGCTGCCTCGACTTCAGACCTTGTTATTGGTCTCTTCATGGTTTCAGCTTCCTCCTGGTTTAGACCTGTGAGGACACAGATGTCCAGGAATTTATCCATTTCTTCTAGGTTTACTAGTTTATGTACATAAAGTTGTTTGTAGTATTCTCTAATGATGGTTTGAATTTCTGTGGAATCTGTGGTGATTTCCCCTTTATCGTTTTTTATTGCATCTATTTGGTTGTTCTCTCTTTTCTTTTTTATTAGTCTGGCTAGTGGTCTATTTTGTTGATCTTTTCAGAAAACCAGCTCTTGGATTTATTGATTTTTTGAAGGGTTTTTTGTGCCTCTATCTCCTTCAGTTCTGCTCTGATCTTAGTTATTTCTTGTCTTCTGCTAGGTTTTGAGTTTTTTTATCTTGCTCCTCTAGCTCTTTTAATTTTGATGATATTTTGGATCTCTCCACTCTTCTCATGTGGGCACTTATTGCTATATATTTTCCTCTAGAGACTGCTTTAAATGTGTCCCAGAGATTCTGGTATGTTGTGTCTTCGTTCTCATTGGTTTTGAAGAACTTCTTTATTTCTGCCTTCATTTCATTGTTTATCCAATCAACATTCAAGAGCCAGTTGTTCAGTTTCCATGAAGCTGTGTGGTTCTGAGTTAGTTTCTGAATTCTGAGTTCTAACTTGATTGCACTATGGTCTGAGAGACTGTTTGTTATGATTTCAGTTGTTTTGCATTTGCTGAGGAATGCTTTACTTCCTACTATGTGGTCAATTTTAGAGCAGGTGTGATGTGGTGCTGAGAAGAATGTATATTCTGTGGATTTGGGGTGGAGAGTTCTGTAAATGTCTATCAGGTTTGCTTGTTCCAGGTCTGAGTTCAAGCCCTGGATATCCTTGTTGATTTTCTGTCTGGTTGATCTGTCTAATATTGACAGTGGAGTGTTAAAGTCTCCCACTATTATTGTGTGGGAGTCTAAGTCTCTTTGTAAGTCGTTAAGAACTTGCCTTATATATCTGGGTGCTCCTGTATTGGGTCCATATATATTTAGGATCGTTAGCTCTTGTTGTTGTATCGATCGTTTTGCCATTATGTAATGACATTCTTTGTCTCTTTTGATCTTTGTTGCTTTAAAGTCTATTTTATCGGAGATGAGAATTGCAACTCTTGCTTTTTTTTGCTCTCCATTTGCTTGGTAAATCTTCCTCCATCCCTTTATTTTGAGCCTTTGTGCATCCTTGCATGTGAGACGGGTTTCCTGGGTACTGCACACCGATGGGTTTTGGATTTTTATCCAGTTTGCCTGTCTGTGTCTTTTGATTGGTGCATTTAGCCCATTTACATTTAGGGTTAATATTGTTATGTGTGAATTTGATACTGCCATTTTGATGCTAGCTGGCTGTTTTGCCCGTTAGTTGAGGCAGATTCTTCTTTTTGTTGATGATTTTTAGCATTTGGTATGTTTTTAGAATGGCTGGTACTGGTTGTTCCTTTCTATGTATAATGCCTCTTTCAGGAGCTCTTGTAAAGCAGGCCTCGTGGTGACAAAATCTCTGAGTACTTGCTTGTTCATAAAAGATTTTATTTTTCCTTCAGTTACAAAGCTCAGTTTGGCTGGATATGAGATTCTGGGTTGAAAGTTCTTTTCTTTAAGGATGTTGAATATTGGCCCCCACTCTCTTCTGGCTTGTAGAGTTTCTGCTGAGAGATCTGCTGTGAGTCTGATGGGCTTCCCTT